CCCCAAAACCCCAAAACCCCAAAACCCCATAAGGCTAAATATGTTACAATATTCAGATTTAACACATATCAATCAAAATTAAAATTATCTTACCTAAAAATAAACAAAGCCACTATTAAACCCCTAAACAAAAATTCCAATTACTTCAAAACTTCCCACTCCCCACTCCACCCCAAAATCCTCAAATTTCACCTAACTCCCCCCTACTCCACACCTCGCAACAACTTTTCTCTAAAATTTCCCTCCAAACTTTAAACCACCCCCACTCCCCCAAAACCCCAAAATCCACTTCCTCTCTTAAACCCCAGTCAGGATTATTCCTAAAATTCAGTACAGATTTGGCCGCCAGTGAGAACCTGTTAATAGTGACGTAGATTTAAGTGGAAATAAATATTTTTGAGCAATTTAGGTGTTTATGGGTAAGTAATTTGTTCAAAGATAGTTTCTTCAAAAAATTTCAACTAGACTCATTGTAATAATACTTATTGTGGGTGTTTTCTTAAGCAGTGGCTGGATCACTTGCTTTGACCAGAATTTGATCTTAAACAAAGACTTCTTTGCTATATCTCAGAGCAGCTTGACATTGTTTTGAAAGAGGATTTCATTATTATGAAGAGTTTCAATGATTCAATCAATATCTGACCATTGTTTGCTCACAAAAATTTGCATTCAGTTAAATAATCAATCCTAAAATATTTTTATTTAAGATCTCAAATATTTGCTCAACTCCATTACAAAGCTAAAATCAGGTAATTTTTAATAGAACATTTTAGTCTTTCCTTTTCCTTGTTGCTCACCGAATTTGCTCAATGTATCAACCTGCTTTCTATTTTTGTACTAAGATTGGGCTTCATGTTCGGCCATTGTTTAAAGATTTCTGACATATTTCTTTGGAAAGTTTAAAAGAATCTTAGTGAACCCTCTTTTATATAAATCAAAAGTGATCTCCATTTAGAAAATGTTATGGATATTTTCAGTATTATGACCTCATACATCTTCTGAAGCACTTAAACCAAGAGATTGTAAAGACTACTCAGCTGATAGAGGTCTAATCTGTATGATATCATATTATAGATTTACTCCAACAATATCTGTGTCAGAAACTTGGCTTTCTGTGTCTTTTCCTCTTTAATTCCCAGCTGTTTTCTTAAAAATGGTAGAAAGGGAATATTCTATCCTTTCCTAAAGTCTAAATCACAATCTTCATAAATTTCTTTCTCTAAAATAGATCTTGCCTCACTATGAATTCCAATTCTCTATCTCAATTTCTTCACCCAACTCCTTCAGTGCTTAAAATTCCCAAAAAATTCCAATCTTACACCCAATCTCCCCACTACCCCCCAAAATCCCCCTATCACCCACCCCCACTATTCACCAAGTAACCCCAATAACCCTCCTACCCTCCCTACAAACCCCCCAAAACCCCTCCAACTCACACTCCAAAATTCCACTAAATCTCAACTTCCCAGTCACCACAAACCCCCAAAATCCACAAGACCACTGTAAAACCTAAATCTGAAATTTATAGTGAAGTTGTACTGTAGACACCCTCTAGTGTTATGGGTTGGCCTGAAGAGTAGTTGGGAATGGGAATGGGTGTGTTAGAGATTGTTAGGGGTCTTGGTGCTTGGTTGGGATGGAGTTGATAATTTGTAGTTTTTGAAAAATATGAAGTTTGGAGTATTAATAGATTTTTTGTGGTTAAAAAATTGTAAAAATTGATGAGGGTGTATCAATCAAGAGTTGATAAGCACGAGGGTATCCTTGATAGAGATTTCTTCTAGGTTGTACCGTTTCAAGATGTAGATACCCTTTTTTCCTAATCTAATAAGTTATTGATGGAAATACTGTATTGATGATAGCTGTAAATCTTATATATTTGAAATAATTAGGAATGATGTAACACAAATTATCCCAGGAAAAGCAAACTAGGACTCAAGATTTTAGCCAAAAACACCAAGTTGTGCATAAATATTAGAGGGTTGAATTAATATTTTATAAAAAGAAAATTAAATTTTGCAAGGGCTTGATGCTTATTAGTAGCCTTATTTGAGTGGTACCTTGAGCATATCTCAGAATTCTACCTCTTTGATGCTTTGGAAGTGAAAGAAATCATTGATCCTTTTTCTTTTGCTCCCTACACAATTAAACTTCCACTTAAGGAATAGCGAAGTGTGATAGATAAAAAATACTTACTGTATTTGAGTGGAAAATTTTTCCCCTAAGAAGGCTCTTTAGAAAATCTTTGCGATGTGAATCATTAGAAGTGGACTAGTAATATCTTGTTGATAATTAGCTTTCCTGTATTTGATATTAAAAATTAACCATACTATAAATTATTTGTCTAAAAACCTCAAACCCATCTAATCCTATCTATTTATTCTCTTACGAGGTACTTATTTAACCTTAAAGCCTCTTTCATTACCTTCCTAACCCCTCTTCTCAAGTCATCGAGCTTTTTTCCCAAAGAAGTCCCGCATTCTCTATAGCCCTCCCCACCTCTCATTCTCTTAAACCTAATAACCTCTAGATTTCCCTATCTGGATGGCCACTACATTGTACTTCATAAACCTAAACCCACCTTAAACTTTCTAATTCCAGTTGGATCACACTGGGTCTTTAACCTTTTCGACTCCTATGACATTAGACCTAAATTCTCAAATTTTGATTTCTTTCTTTGCTTTCATTTCAACCACAGAGATTTCCTGAATTCCTCAGAGACATCATCCTCTCTGCCTTCTGAAACGTCAATCCCTTAGCCACACCCTTCTTATCTCACTTCATCTCTCGATTGTTGACATAAAACTTAAGGTTTGTGTTCACTAAAATACTTTCAAAAATATTTTTAATTTCTTTCAATAATTTCTTATAATTTAGGGGTTTTGGGGTTTTGGGGTTTTGGGG